ACTCTTGCCAGTGGACCATGAGAGGGTACCACAGTACTTTGGATTAACTCGAGATCCTGCACAGTGACACAGCTGACGGTGCCAGCGACCTGCAACACAGACCTGTGCTCTTTTCCTGATTTAAGGTACCCGGAGTCGGGACAGTGGGAGAAGGGAGCACTGTGTGGGTGTAGGTGTACAACCTAAAGGACTTTGATATTTTAGTGGAGGCATTAAGCCTGAATAGCATTAAATAAACATTTTGTTTCTTTTTCACAAATCTCTGGCTTTAAGAGATGTCTTTCCAATTGGCGGCGGACAGAAGAGCCCAGTAGATTTTAGTATTTTGTTTTTGGGAGGGGCCCCTGTTGTATAGCAGTTTTGGGCATCTCTAGGTGGGCCAAATATTGTATTGCCCCTCCCTCGGACCTCTTGTTGTTCGGTAACACAGGGACACCCTGACTCTGAGACACATCTTTGAGGTCGGTCTGACCTCAGGCTCAAGGACGCTTGACCCCGGTGGCAGATCTCTAGGTCATTTGAGGTGGGGACACCCTCCTTAAACCTCCCTCGCCGCACCCCTTGTTTGTTCTCATCCCTGAGATCACCTTCCCTTTTAAAATGGGCAACACTCAATCAATCCCACCCAAGGACTCCCCGTTGGGATACAACTTGAAAGCTCTGGGACTTATGGACTTCAAGCCCAAGGGCTTGATTCTTTATTGCAACACGGCCTGGCCTCAATACAAACTGGGCGACCAGAAACTCTGGCCCATGAATGGATCTCTTCACTAAAATACTATCCTCCAACTTGACCTTCACGGTCACCATCTCAATCCCCTCCTTAGGTTTATTCTCAAGATGAGATAAAATTTTTAACCTTCAGTGGGGATTCCAGGCCTTTTTCTACTAACTATGCCTTTTTGTTCAAATTTGCTCCACTCTACCAACTCCTCCCCTCCCCCACTTGTGTCTCTCTTGCTGCAGAGTAATCACTGTATTTGTTTTCCAGCTGAGCAGCATTCTAACCTGCTCAGCAGGGGGTGATACTATTCCTGACCTCCCTAGCCCAAATCCTGCATGCAACTCCCTCTGAAATTAGTCTTGGCCCCACTGTGCCCATGTTAAGTAAACACGTGTACAAGGAGGAAGAAAATCTCACCCTCACCCTCCCACCCACAGGCTGTAAAACAGTCTATATTCCCCTCCTGAAGAGCAGGGAGCTGCTAAATCCTGGTAACAATTGGGACTGCCTCTCAATGCAGAGAAAAAAAGTGGCATTTAAAAATATTTATTTATTTTTAGAGAGAGGGGAAGACAGGGAGAAAAAGAGGGAGAGAAACATCAATGTGTGGTTGCCTCTTGTGCACCCCCTACTGGGGACCCGGCCCCAAAACCCGGGCATGTGCCCTGCCTGGGAATCGAACTGGCGCCTGTTTGGTTTGTAGGTTGGCACTCAATCCAATGAGCCACACCAACCAAGGTAAAAGCGGCATTTTAAAATCAAACCACTTTTCTGCCCCTTTATAAGAGGATGCAGCCGGGGGGGCAAAGAAGGCTTTGTAATGGGGTCCAGAACTCAGGGTGTCTAGGAAATATTAAAAAGATGGGATGTCCTCATCTCTGTAAGTCTGACCTGGGGGATGGGACACATGGAGCAGGGCCACTGAGAGTCGTTCTGCATGGCAACAATTTTGCAATTAACCTCAGCCATGGTCATTTAACATATCTATAACTTTTAACTGGTTTCATCAATATGTTAAACAGCTGTGCCCATGCTTTGAGCCAGGAAGATGGGAGTGACTTCCACCCAGGATGTAACTAGGAGGCAACACCCCCTGGTTATCGAGCCTGCGTAAGAGCTTGTAGATGATTGGCTCCATGCCACAGGGCCACGCCTGCCCGGAATTACTACGGCAGCCCAGAAAAGCTGGAAAAATATGGGAATGCTAGCAAGTGTAGTTGATTGTGGGAGGAGTTGGAAATGGGGCTGCTGGGGAAGACTGGCACTGGGATTTAAACCCCGCAGTGGCAGCCAGGACAAGAACCACGTAGCTTTGGGTCTCCTTTTGTCACGCAGCTTAGGCAGCTGGAAAGCAAGATGTAGCAGCGAGGCAGAGCTCTGTCTTGGGAATTTGGAAGAATACAGGAGAGATGCTGTGGGAAGGAAAGGGGTGAAAGGACTCTTGCTGGTTCACGAAAAGGTGCCACGTGGTTTTGGCTTAAGAACTAGAGAGCCTGGTGACACAGCTGATGGTGCTGTGAACTGAGGGAGGTCTACAAGCCGAGCACGGATTACTGGGAAGAATCGGGGACTACCTGAGCCACAGACCTCTATTTCTTTTACTGAGATATGGTACCCTGGACCAGGCAAAGGGGGTAAAAAAGGACTGTGTTTGTGGATGTTTTAAGGGACTTTGAGATTTTAATGAAGACATTGAGTCATTACTCTCAAGTCTGTATAACTTTTGAATAAATAGTTCCTTTCCTTTTCAACAATCTCTGACATGAAAAGCTACAATTTCCTGGTGCTGGGCAAAGCAAACCTGGTACAGAGAGATCCCAGGAGAGGGGGGGTCCATTCAGTAACACTGTGCGATCCCTTCTCTGGTGGCCAATGAAGGAAAATCATGGGAGACCACATGCGCAGTAGCTTTAAAGTAATATAACTAGTTGTGCATGCTCGATAAAACCCCACCAAAACTAGTCAGGAAGTATCCGCCCTATAAGAACAGAGTCCCTCCAGCCAATGAGGTCAATCTCTGCCTGGAGTTGGTGCTCCCAGGTTCCCTGGTATAAACTCTGTGTTCAGTTCAATTCTTTGTCCTGATCACCAAGAACCTGCTTACCTGTGCCCACCTGTGACACTTTCACTGGACTCTCTAACATTAACATCCCCCCATCTCTTCTCCCTACTTCTCCTCAAACCTCTTGCCTGGCTCCCCCTTCAAATTGGGTTTCTTCCAGCCATTCCTGTGCTAGCCGTCCCCTCAGTAACCCCTAAACCTGCAACTAGCTCCCTCCCCCGTGAGGGATCAGAGGAGATGCTGGATCGGAGAGCATTATTCAGGTCAAGGCTCCCTTTTCAGTGTCTGACCTCTCCCAAATTGAGGTCAGACCCAGCAGTTTTTAGGCAAATTCGGCTAAGGATTTGAATATCTCACCCCCTCATATGACACCTATGTGACAGTTTTGTGACTGCCGATTTATGCTTCTTCATCCCTTCACTTTACTCACCTAACCCCCCTTTACCTCTGGCAACCTTCACCCTCCCTCAGAGTAAGCTCTATACAAGTGATAGAGATAATTATCCAATGTCTGCTTTTCAATAAGAAACTGTTTTCTCCCAACTAGGAAGTGTTATGGGGCAACAAATATTTTTACCAATCTGCCCTGATTTACCTAGTAGCGTGAGACTTTCTTAAAACCAATGATGTCCAGATATCTTTGTGCAGACTGTATTTAAAGCTAAATGAACCAGATACTTGACCAAATGGGAAAATAAAGATTATAAAGGAACTTCCCACATGAGACTGCCTGAATGTTTGCTTCTTTATTAACTTCTCAGAGACAACTTCACAGGGTATCCACTCCACAGGATGGACCTTTTGTCAGGATGGACCAAAACAGCCCAGAGACTTACAGAGAGGCCTCTAACTCTCAGCTTGTTACATATCTGTCCCTCTGTGGATGGGGAACCAGTCCACGGTGCCTGGATCATACAATAGTTACTATTTTGAGTCAAACCTCATTTCCTCAACAGTATGTTTATGAAATTCAAATATAGGTGAATTTGAATTTATAAACAAATTCTATTCACTCTCATTGGTGGATATTTTTACAATATGTAAATTTACCAATAATCCATTCTGTTACAGATGATGGTTGGGTAGGCCCCTGCTTGGTTCTTAAACATGGTGCTGGTATGAGCATAGTGGAAAACATCTTTGGCTGAATGTATGTGTATACTAACCTGAGAAATGTGTTTATGGGTTGAACCAAAAGGTTATGGCATATGAATATCTTTAGCTTTGGTAGATGCCTAAAATGTCCCAAACTGGCTGTCCCAATTTACAGTACAAAGAGCGGTATGACATTGTTGGCATTGTGCTAAGATTCTGTCTTTTAGTTTTTCTTGAAGAATGTAGTAATATCTCATATTAATTTGAAGTTTCATTTTGACTAATAGTGTTTAGTAACTTTACACATGATTCTTGATTGTAGAATTGTAGTGTTATATCCTACCAAACCACTGCTACTAATATGGCAAGAGAAGAGATTAATACCTTTGTACATCATTGCCTCTCCAAAACCATTCTACTTCGCCTATTCCTCAATTCCCCAGCTCTAATTCTTATACATTTAGGATTATACTAAAAGTTGCCCTGGCTGGTGTGGCTCAGTGGATTGAGCCTTGGCCTAGGAACCAAAGAGTAGCCCGTTCGATTCCCAGTCAGGGCACATGCCTGGGTTGCAGGCCAGGTCCCCAGTAGAGGGTGCAGGAGAGGCAACCACAGATTCATATTTCTCTCCCTCTCTTTCTCTCTCCCTTACCCTCTATCTAAAAATAAAAATAAATAAAATCTTAAAACAAAGTGTACTAAAATTTACCACCTTCTTTCTTCTCCCCCCTGCCCCTAAATTCAACATTTTCCAGTTGAGATTAGTTTTTAATCTCGTGGCTCATTGTTCACTCCACCAACAATACTGCAATAATTGAAGACATCAGGACTTCGGGGAGTAATGTGTATAGGAAAACTTTCCGCTGGTTGATTCAGGAGAGGATAACACCAGCCCTCCGAGTGGTTACCCGCATTACCGCCTTGAGATCGACAGTGTCAACCTTTTTCCTACTGGTTGTGTGGGAAATCGTGGAGCCTCTCAGAAGAGTGTTAAGCACTTTCGCTTGAGGAGGAGGGTGAGAATGCAGCGGCAATCCCCTTTGGCTTTCTGGGAAATGTAGTCCACAGATGCGGTGGAGCCGCGAATACTTCCGCATTGGCCGCCGGGACAAGGGAATTCTGGGAAGTGTGTTAACCAGCGTAGCACTTTCACTCCGGGCGCCCAGGTTACCGCGTGCATACCCCTTTCTGTGGTAAGTCGGTTCCGTTGGCTAACTTTCCGAACTTCCCTGGGTCCTGGTACCACCGGGCCATTGATTGAGGAGGAAGAGGTTGTGTCGGAAAGTGGTGCTCTCGGGGGGGCTTGGGTGGCCGGCGTTCCTCTCGGCGGAGCCTCTCTGTTTTGGGGATGGGAAGGCTGTGCGTCTCCTGCGTTTTCTGCCTCCTCAGGCCGCGCAGCTTTGGTTTGAGTCTGCGGTTTCCCGCTGCGAAACATCGGGCGAATTACCTAAATACCCGTTTCCGATGTTTTTGTGTAAAATTGGGATGGCGTTATTACCTTGCTAATACAGTAGTTTGAGATTTAAATGAGACGGTATAAATAAATAAAAGTCTTAAGGCGGTGGCTTCTCGTTATTAGTACTGTTTAGTTGGGGGAAGTGCTCAGTGGGTTTCGAGCTCCAGCTGCAGTGCCCGAAGCTCGGGCACTTCTCTTTGATCTCTGTAGGGGAGCTGGATTTCCAAACCATTTGTGGCTGAAAAGGAGAAGGAAGTGGGGAAGGCACAATATCACTGTGATTTCTCAGGGACAAAAATGTTAAAACAAGACAAGGCCCCAAATAGAGTTACTTAACACTAAGTCCCATGTCACCAGACAGACTTAATGATAGTTTCTGCTCTCCCAGACATGGAATCTTAAACTAGTCGATCAGGAAACTCCCGTTTGGCACTAATTAGGTCATCTGCTTGATGGACCCATGCCATCCCCTAAAGGAATGTGACATTGCAGTAACCAACCTGCTTTATTTTTCTAATATAACTCTCTTGCTCCATTCTGCCTATTTAAAAAAATCTTTCATTTTGTTCGGCTCCTGGGAGCGCCTTTCTATTTGCTAGATTGGATGCTGCCCAATTCGTGAATCGATGAACAAAATCGATAAAATTTTTATAATTTACTTATTTGAATTTTGTTTTTTAACAGTGACATAATCTAGTATTTCAGAGATTCCTTTTCTCCCCCAGCATTTACTTGTCTGAAAGGACTGCATTTCTTGTTGTACCATTGTTACCAGCAGCAGCCTGAAAACTGCTGGTATTCTAGAAATTATCTATAAGTTGAAAACATCAAGCTTTAGCTGTTGCCAGCTATCAGCATCTGCCCTTGCCATTTTTTCACACTTTTATCACACTTCTCTTTTCTTCTCCTAAAAAATGTGACTTGTTCTGTAGACATGGGTCCTCTTTTTCCTTAAATATTTGCCCTTAAATATTCTACGAACAAGGACATTCTTTTCCATAAGTACAGTATCATGATCAAAATCAAAATTGTATTGTTAATATACTATTATCCACAGTTCCTATTTAAATTTGTTCTATTTTTCATTTAAGATCCTTAAAAAACTGTCCCCCCTGCTCCAATTAAGGCCAATATTATGGATTGCTTTTTGCTGTCTGGTTCCTGTTGTTTTTTTTAATCCAGAATGATTTCTCCGCTTCCATCATTTTCTTCATGGTGTTTTTGAAGGGTTAGGCAAGTTAATTTGGAGAAAGTCCATCATTCGAAGTTTACCTTGTATATTTCACAATTTGATTTATCGTTGGCAGAGATTCCACAATTGCTGAGGTATAATTTTCAGCTAACATAACAGGAACCAAAGGAAGTTTTTTGACTTTATATTGCTGATGTCAGCTTTGTTCACTTGGAGAAGGAGATGTCTGTCTCATTACTCCATTGAAGTTAGTAGTTTTATTTTTTGTAAGCACTTTCCTATGGAGAGACATTTTCATTAGTAAAGATGAGCTTCCTTGTTTTTTCCACTTGATTAGTCATTCAAATATAAATTTTATATGCATATAGACTCAGAATCCAGTCTTGTTAACTTGGAATGAGACATAGTTTATCAAATGGTTCTTGAGAACGATTTAATTGACATATTTTACATATAATAATTTTGAAGTGGTGCAACTATACCATAATTCAGTTTTAGAACATTTTCATTCCTACAATAAGATTGTTTAATCCCATTTATAGGTAATCCCTGTCTTCACACCAGAGACAACAACTAGCTTGCTGTATCTGTATTGTGAACCTTTTATTTAAATGTGATCATACAATATGTGGTCTTTTGTGACTGGCTTCTTTCACTTACAGTGTTTCAACATCCATGTTGTAATATATATCATAATTTCATTCCCTTTTATTGCCCATGAATATTTCATTGTGGACATTCCATACTTTCCCTATCCATTCACTCATAGGTAGACATTTTAGTTGTTTCCTGTTCGGGGTTCTTATGAATAAACAGTTTCATTAACAATTATGTGTAAGTTTTTGTGTGGAGATGTGTTCTCATTTTTCATTTTTTTAAAATATATTTTATTGATTATGCCATTATAGTTGTTCTATTCCCCTCCTTCATTCCCCTCCACCCTGCACACCCTCTCCCCCACCATCCCCCCCTTTAGTTTATGACCACGTGTCTCAAGTTCTTTAGATTCTATTCATTTTTCTTGAATAGATACCCAGGAGTGACATTTCTTGGTTAACTGTTAGTTTTAGGTTTAACTTTTTGAGAAACTGCCAAAACTGTTTTCCAGAAATCTTTTCCATAATCTTGTGTTTCTAAATAGATACTAGAAACCACGTTTTGTTGTTTTTTTCCCCAGAAACATTTGCCTGTGGTAATTTAAAAGTTATTGCTAAGGTAACATATTATTAGGGAAGACGGTGAGGGAAAGTTCCCAGATTTTTCAGAAGTTGAGTGACGTTTGCAGAACAGAATAATCATGTCAGAAGTCCAGGTATCATACAATATCTTTTGGTAATGATCACATTGCAAGACCAATTTTGTATTACAAAGTGTCTTTTTTTTTTTTTAATTATAGCTACAAAAATAAAACCTGGATGTACTCAAAGTGGCTGTCCAGCTCAGAACAGTTCAGTTAAGTTGGAAGTAATGTTCTTGCAAGCGTACAGATGACAGTTGAGGAAAAGAGATACTGTTAATTTGCCCAAGATGACCCAGCTATGTGAGAGGCTGAGCTAGGATTTGAACCCAGATATTGTCCCAGGGATGATTCAATGTGTATCATATCTGAATCCAATTTTCTACCTTGGGAGCCACAAGATGTTAGAGATGGTACCAGTATGTATTGTGCAGGATTTGGATGCCCTTCTGTGATCTCACCAACCTGTGTACAGCAGCAGCCACCTCAGGAAAGGGGCTGCTTGGCTAATTCACAGTAAGCATTCATAGAGGTGAGCAACACTCTTGATCACCTTTTCATGTTCCTTTTCTATCTTTCCAGACACTACCAGGCATAGTTCTGCCTACCAGGACTCTCCATATCCAAGGAATCTGTACATTTGCAGAAGTAATAAGAAAAAAATGACCACATTTAAGGTACATATGGCTCACTTTTCTTGCTGTTAAAATTCTGTCTTACTATTCAGAAGGTCACTTTTTTTTTTTCTTGAAATGACTTAAGGAGAACACCAGGCATTTAATGTAAAGACCTGTTTGCTTTGTATTTGTTCTTAGTGTTTGTTTTATTTTGTCATTATTCATTTTATTTCAAAAATAAGTGTGGACAAATTAATAGAAATGACCAGTTCTCCAACATTTTTTAAAAAATATTTTATTTATTTTTAGACAGAGGGCAGGGGAGGCAGAAAGAACAGGAGAGAAACATCCATGTGTGGCTGCCTCTCTCACACCCCCTACTGGGGACCTGGCCCGCAACCCAAGCATGTGCCCTGACTGGGAATCAAACCAGTGACCCTTTGGTTCGCAGGCCGGTGCTCAGTCCACTGAGCCTTACCAGTCAGGGCCACTTCTCCAACTTCATTACATCACTCTAGTACATGAACTCTTATTTTCTTATAGTCTTTTCCTCATGTGTATCCATGGCTTTACTAATATTCATGATTACATCTCCTATTAAGCAGTGGATTTTCATTTAATGTTATAACATTTATTTCTATAAATAACTTTTTAAATATCTTCTACTTACTGATCTACTTTTATGCCTTCATGTATTAATTATTTTTCAAAAGTAATATGTAACTTTCTGTGTGTCTTTTAATAATAGACTACTATTTTTGTAGGGCAGTTTTGTATTCAAAGTAAAATCCAACAGGAAGTGCACAGATTTTCCATATACCCCCGCCCTCACACATGCACAGCCTCCCCCATTCTTATTTTTTAAATATTTAAAAAAATATATTTTATTTATTTTTAGAGGAAAAGGGAGGAAGATGGGAAAAAAATGTCGATATGAGAGAGAAACACCCATTAGTTGCCTCTCGTATACACCCCAACCTGCGACCAAACCCTCAGCCCAGGCATGTGCCCTGACTGGGAGTTGAACCAGCAACCTTTTGCTTTGTGGGACAACGCTCAACCCACTGAGCCATACCAGTCAGGGCCTCCCCCATTCTTAACACATCCCCACCCCCCACATACCAGATTGGTACTTTTTTTAGAATCGATGGACCTGCATTGATACAATGTCACCCAGAGTCCATACTTTACATTAGGGTGCACTCTGTGTACATCCTGTGGGTTTAAACAAACCTATAATGATATGTCCCTGCCATTACACTGTTATACATGTGTAGGTTCACTGTTCAAAAAATCCCTTATGCTCCACCTCATTATTCTTCCCTTCCTGCAACCCTGGGGAACACTGAATATAGTTGGAGTAATACATATGTAGCCTTCAGACTGGCCTCCTTTACTTAGTGATATGCATTAATGTTACCTCCATGTCTTTTTGTAGCTTGATAGCTCATTTCTTTTTTAAAGATTTTATTTGTTTGCTTTTAGAGAGGGAGGGAGGGAGGGAGGGAGGGAGAGGGAAGAGAGAAACATCATCGTGTGGTTGCCTCTCTCACACCCCCTACTGGGGACCTGGCCCACAACCCAAGCATGTGCCCTGACTGGGAATTGAACTGGCAGCCCTTTGGTTCACAGGCCTGTGTTCAGTTTACTGATCCATGCCAGCCAAGGTGATAGCTCATTTCTTTTAGTACTAAATTATACTGTGACCTGGATGTGCCACGTCATCCATTTGCTACCTGAAAGACGTCTTGGTTGCCTCCACTTATAAACTAAGATATAACCTTAATTTAAATGCCCAGTCTTGCCCTGACTGGTGTGGCTCAGTTGGCTGGTTATTGTTCTACCAAGTAAAAGGTTGCCAGTTCATTTAGGGCACTTACCTGGTTGTGAGTTTGGTTCCCAGTTGGGCATATGTGAGAGACAACTGATCAGTGTTTCTCTCCTCTCCCTCCTTTGCCCTCTTTATAAAAATAAATAAATAAAATATTTTAAAAATATGTCTAGTCTTAGCCCCAGCCAGCGTGGCTCCTGCAAACCAAAAGGTCACCAGTTTGATTCCTAGTCAGGGCACATGTGTGGGTCGTGGGCTCTGTGCTCCATCCCAGGTATGGGTGCTTGCAGAAGGCAACTAGTCAGTGTTTCTCTCCCTCTCCTCCTCCCTTCTCTCTCCAAAGTTAAAAAAAAAAAAAGTCCAGTTTTGCTGGATAGGCCAGGCAGTTAGTTCTGTTTCCATATGTATTCCTTAGAGCTACTAGATAAGGAGATTCTTGATTTCATCTTCCATTTAAATAGGTAAAATATGAGAAACCTGCTTAGGGTCACACAGGAAACCAAGCAAGGGTCAAGGAATGTTAGCCATCATGTTTGAAAGGACATATAAGAAGAGAACATCTGCTCAGCGCTGTTCCTGCTACAGTGGACATTGGTTATGAGGTTGAGGTTGCCTGTGTTTGGTGTTGTAGGAGGCCGTGACCTTCAAGGACGTGGCTGTGATCTTCACTGTGGAGGAGCTGGAGCTGCTGGACCCGTCCCAGAGGATGCTGTACCGAGATGTGATGCTGGAGAACTTCCGGAACCTGATCTCAGTGGGTGAGGCCAGGTGCCCTCTCTAACTGAATGTCAACTTCCAGGACTGGCTGTGTATCCTTGGGTGTTCAAGGCTTTGGGGCCTCTGCAATGGTTCCCTGGATTTGGGGGGGTCTGACTTTTCTAATACAGGGTATGTCAAAAGTAGGTTTACAGTGTGTATGGAAAAGAATACAATAATTAATCAATAGTAATGCAACAATAAACTGTGTTTTGTGTACTCACAGCTGTAAACCTACTTTTCCCCTGCCCTGTATGCGGGGGCACAGAGGGGGAATTATCAATTCGCAAATACTTGCGTATTTTATCAATACGCAAGTTTGTGTTTTGCTAAGGAGCTGTAAGTGCACAGTATACTGCTCTCCCTTACCAGTTCCTGACCCTGTCATGCGTTATTAAACCTGTTGAGTCCTACTCTCAATTTTTAAGGAAATAAGTTAATAACCTCGATCCTTCTCATACTCTTCCAAAAAGTTCGAGGAGGAAGAACTTCCTAACTCTTTCTACATATGTGTATGGGTTTGGACAAATGGCATTTCTTCAAGTTGGTTATGAAAAACTCCGCTTCTGATTACTAGAAGAGTATGCTATGGGGACCTAATTTTCCAGGAACGTTTAGTTAGAATGTTTTAGTTTTAAGGATGTGACTTTGCATGTTCATGGGGCATCAATCATTCAAACAAGACATGGTCCACTTAGTAAGGAGAGAAGAGTTTTGGATGATGAAGTTGGCAACCCAGCCCTGGCTGGTGTGGCTCAGGGGATTGAGCACCGGCCTGCGAACTGAAAGGTTGTTGGTTAGACTCCTGGTCAGGGCACATGCCCGGGTTGCCAGCCAGGTCCCCAGTATAAGGCCTGTGGGAGGCAGTCGATCCATGTGTCCCTTGTGAATTGCTGTTTCTCTCCTTCTCTTTCTTCCTCCCTTTTTATCTCTCTAAAAGTAAATAAATAAAATCTTTGGGAAAAACAAACAAAACGATGGCAACCTAGAGAACAGGGAATTCAGGTGAGAACCAAACAGCTCTGAGTCCTGCAGGCAGCTCTTGCATCTGTTGCACTTCTCTCTCTCCATGCTGATCTCCATCGCCTCGTTCAAAAATCCCCAGATGTCTCCTGAGTTGTTATCATCACCTTGGTGCTGGTAGCCATCCTAGATGTGTTCTTCACAAAACGCCAAAGTGATCCTTTGGAAATGTAAGTTACGTTGCCATTATTCTGTTCAAAATCTGTATGGCTTTCTTTTTTTTTTTTTTTGAAGCCAGTTAAAGTGGCTTTTGGAGTCTGGAGCCCTCTGTGGCCTGCTCTGTGTCTCCATTCCCTCTCTGAATACATCTGTGCTGTTCTGTCCCTCTTGCTCCATTTGTCCCACTCAGATTGTCCTCCATGATATTCCTCGGACCTGCCAAGGACACTGTATATTGCCTATTGCTGCTGTAATAAATTACTATAAACATAGTGAAGCTAACAACAAAATTTGATTGTATTTTGGTTCTTTAGGTGTGATGTCTGACATCTCACTGGGCTAAAATCAAGCTGTCTATAGGTGCCAAAGATTTTGAACACAGAAATGGCAGTGTGACCTACGTTTCCAAAAAATCACTTTGGCTGCTACACGAAGACCATATCTAGGATATGAACAGTTCTAGTGGGGAAAACCTGTCCCCTGGGTTCCCGGTATCTACGGCCTGCCCTATTCTTGGCTCTTGTTCTCCTTCCTCCATCTTCAAAGCCATCAGCATTGTACTTCCAGCCATTCTTCTGTGCTCTTCCTCGGCCACTGTCTTCCACCTTCCTGGACACTTCTGGTTACATTGGTCCCTCTCACATAATCCCAGATGCTCTTCCCATTTTTATGGGCAGCTGATTAGCAGCCTTAATTGCATCTGCAACTCAGTTCCTATTTGCTGTATAATAACATGTTCATAGGTTCTGGGGACTGGATGTGGACATCTCTCTGGAACCATTATTAAGTATATTACAGAAGCTTTCCCCTCGGGGTCCTTTACTACTTCTTTCTGCCTAGAATACTCTTTCACATAAAATCCTACAGGTCCTTCTTCCTTCATTGCCTGCTTTGTTTCAATATCATGACCCAGGCCTTTCGACCACTTACTTTACGTACAGTCATATCTTTACTTGCCTAATACTGTGTCTCATATATTTTTGTTTATCACTTCTCTCCCCAGCAGTATATGATCTGCAGGAGGAGTATATTTTTACATCTTTATTTTAGCTTTTTAAAGATTTTCTTTATTTTTACAGAGACTGGAAGAGAGAGAAAGAGAGGGGGAGATACATGGATTGGTTGCCCGTTGTACACCTCCAACTGAGGGTCTGGCCTGCAACCCATCCCAGGCATGTGCCCTGACCGGCAATCTAACCAGCTGCCTTACAGTTCACAGGCTGGTGCTCAGTTCACTGAACCACATGAGCCAGGGCAGGAGGTGAATTTTAATTGTTTTGTTAATTGCTGTATACTCAGTGCCTAGAATAGTCCTGGCAGATATCTGTAAATATGTACTGACTTAATGAATTAGTTATTGGATAGGTGGGCCTTACCGTCCTTACTGTCTTTCCTGCTGGTGTTGATTTTTTTTTTTAAATCTTCACCAAAGGACATGCTTTCCGACTTTAGGGGGTGGGGAAAGAGAGAAAGAAACATCAATGGATTGCCTCTCATACGTGCTCTGATGGGGGGGCTAAACCTACAACCTTAAGCATGTACTGACCGGAATCGAGTCTGCAAACTTTCAGTTTATGGGATAGCACTATGATGAACTGAACCATACCGGCCAGGGCTGGTGGTAACGTTTTGATAGTTTCTATTCTGTTTGTTTTCTTAATGCTTATTACAAGCTTTTATTTCATTGCTCACTAAAGACCTGTGGTTTCCAATTTGAAAAACTGATACAAAAGACCAATCTATTTACATCCAAAGGTTTTCTACACTTTTTAACAGACAGTGCAGAACCCACATAAGAATCTATTGCACAGGCCCTCATGTTTCCTTTTCTTGTTACTCAAGTCACTTCATGTCTTGTGGAGACAGCTAATAAGTGATAAATACAACGGAGCAAATTGAAGATACTGAAAACATTTTGTGTCTCCAAATGACTGCCCATCTAGTTTCTACTTACCTGGATTTAACATGATTGTGTGCTTGTGTGTGTGCTCTTGACCCATATCCCAGGGAAGCTTCTAAGCATTGTAGCTGTGACCACGCTAAGGCTCATGCTTTCCCCGTGGCTTTTCTAGAGCCTTCCCTAGGGGCCATACTCATTTCCAGGGAGTAGTGCTTTCTTTAATGAGGAGTCTGATGTCTTTCCTAGACAGTTTCCCACAAATGGAAAAACTGTATACCCAGAGCACTGAGACAGTAACCAGCTTGCAGGCTGCATTTCCTTTGCATCACTTGCCCATCTGCTGCCATTTACTTCTTACAAAGTCGACATCCACTTCCCTGTTAACCAGTTTTCCCTTCTATGTTCTAGAAGGGGAAGAATGAGCATGAAAGTCCCTGTGGTCATACGTCCTGATCAGTTTTGGTTAAAAATGTGTATATTTCCACGGCTTATTTTTCTACAAATACAGCTTTTAAACAAATCTACGGAATAATGATTTCGCTTCATTTTTATAAAGACATATTGTTTCATTTTTAACTGGTGAACAATATAACCTGGAAGGTAGGAAGAAACTGCCCACTCAAAATTGTTGCATCCTCAGAAAGATTTCCATGTCCTCCCCCCAAAACTATTTTAAAGTGGCCATTTATTAAACTGAACCTTAAACCGTAGTACCTGTTAAGAGGTACGCACTCACCTAGTAGTATTTTTCCAAGGTTCCATTCTTGGAACTTATCTTTCCACTTGAATAGTTTGTTTAATTAAGGACTCGCTAAGTTCCTGAACCAAGTTTTCAAACTTTTGATACAACAGTCTATTCCGAGAAATCCATCTTTCATTGTAACCAAGGAAGTACTAAACGTGTGTAGACAATTTGTGCGATGGTCTCATTCCTCTGGTGATGATGCTCTGATAAGTTTCTATTCTGATTCTTTTTTCCAAATGTTTATTGTATGATTTTAAATTCATTTCACAGCTAAGTAAAAGGATACAGCTTTCAATCTGAAAATCTGACGTGGAAGCCCAATTTCTCTCCATTCACAGTTTTCCCACACGCTGTTTTGAAAGAGACAATCCAGAAGCCTCAGAAGAAGCCATTACATGGGCCCTCATGTGTTCTTTTCACCCTTTAACTTTCTCATCTGTAGCATCACCCTTTGTCTGTTCCTGTGGGATACAGATTTGCCTTCATAGCAAAACTGCAGTTTTTTTAATTGGATATCTTAACTAAGTTACTATGTGTTCCAACACAGAAAAATAAGATGAACTATGTATATTGTGTAGAATTTGTAGGAATACTTTGCTTGTATAAATACAAACAATTCTAGGTTTTTGACATATAAGACTGTAAGGTGTCTAGCCAACTGCAAAATTTAGAGGGACAGCTTACATTCCTGCACTTGGCAACAACTGCAAGTTTGAAGGGGTTCCCAAAACTACCTTTAGATTGACTGTATCTCCAAGAAGGCCTGATAGAACTCACTGAATGCTTTTGTACTCACGGGTGGTGCTCATTGCACAGAAGAATATGCCTTATAAGTAAGTAGGAGAAAAAGCACATGACAGGGAGCCTGGGGAAGAGCCAAATGCAGAGCTTCTGTTGTCCTCTCTGCATGGAGTCAAGGTTTCTGTGTGTTTCTGTGTTACTTTCCAACATACAGGTGTGAATTACAGGGTATTGCCAGTCAGGGAAGCCCACTTGATCCTCAGTGTGCAGAGTAATTATTGCAGGTCCATCACAGGGCCAGTGTATGTTGAATAGTTCATGTGGTTATTTTCAGGCTCCTGGTTCACACCACTGGGTAACGGAAGTCTCGGTCCACAGTTACATTCTGGTCTTTCCAGTATGGTCAGCTTCATTCCTAGATCATACTGTTAGACCAGCCACTGTTACCCAAGACCCTCAAACACTTTTCAGGCATCACATTTCACATGCTTAGAGCTTACCTCTCAAATGTCAAGGACAAAGACCAGATCCTTTTTTTGGTAAGATTGATTTTTTTTTTTTACCACATAAGGATATGTGACAAGCCCAAATATACAAAGTATAAATTATGTTATTGCTTTTCCTTAAAGTTTGTGTTGATTCATACTTCATTGTATAATTTTTTTAAATATTTTATTTATTTTTTAGAGAAGAGAAGGGACAAAGGGAGAGAAACACCAGTGTGTGGTTAGCTTTTCATGTGCCCTGACTGGGAATGGAACCAGCGACACTTTGATTCATAGGCCAGCACTCAACCACTGAGCCACACCAGCCAAAGTGTGTGTATAATTTTTTTAAAGCCTCACCGAAGGGTATACTTACTGATTTTAGAGAGAGAAGAAGGGAGAAAGGAAAACATTGATGTGAGAGAAAAACATTGGTTGCCTCCCATACGCATCCTAACCAGGAATCAAACCCGCAACCTTTTCATATATGGGGTGGCACTTCAACCAACTGAGCCACCTGGCCAGCACCATTGTATACATAGTTTATTTGCTGCATAATTTACTATCCAAGAGTTTACATTGATTATCAAACTCAGTAGAAATCTCAATGGATTAACATCATGTATCATATTACTATATTTTGTTATGCAGTCTTTGATTTCTACCTTGTACCTTATGTGAACAAAAGAGTAACTTGTGCCTCACATGGGAGACTTGGTGTGGTTCTAACTTGGATTTACTGGTGTTTAATGGGTAAGAGCCTACTAGACTACCTCTTGGTTTCTGTAGGCATATAAATCAGAGACCATGATTCATATCCAAAGGACAAAGTGAATACTCCCTGGATTTATTGAAGTCTCATGCTGTCTCCTAAATGTGAAATCTTGAAGACACTAAACAGAGTCTTTACTTGTCCACATCTTTGCATTTTCTCTCCCTATAGGAGGCAAGATCCAATATGAGATGGAGACTGTTCCAGGAGCAGAGCCACATGAAGAGCTTTCCTGCTGGTACATTTGGCAAAAAATTGCAAATGACATAATCAGGAGGCAGGACTCCATGATAAAGAGTTCTCAGTTCCCCAGACAGCTTGATTCAACCAGCCATCTTGGGGCAGGACTGTCTGTAACTCACAGAGGCCAGAAAACTTACCAGGAAAATGAGTGTAAAATATTTTTCGGTGATATCTCCAACTTTAATTCTCATCGACGGTCAGGAGCAAAGTCTCATACATGTGGTGAGTGTGGAAAAAGCTTCTATCATAGCTCGGCACTCCATATTCATCAGAGAGTTCACTTAGGAGAGAAGTGCTACAAGTGTGGTAAGTGTGGTAAGGAATTCAGTCATAGCTCACGCCTGCAAACTCATCTGAAAGTCCACACCATAGAGAAACCATTTAAATGTGAGCAGTGTGGGAAAGGCTTCAGTCGTAGAGCAACACTTATTGACCACTGCAAATTACACTCGGGAGAGAAACCTTTTAAGTGTGAGGAATGTGGGAGGGCCTTCATTCATGCTCACCATCTTCACAACCATCAGAGAGTCCACACTGGAGAGAAACCATTCAAATGTGATATATGTGGGAAGAACTTCCGTCGTAGATCAGCACTTAATAGTCATTGTGTGGTCCACACGGGGGAGAAACCTTACAAATGTGAGGAATGCGGGAAGTGCTTCGGTTGGAATTCACATCTTCATATCCATAAGAGCATCCACATGGGACAGAAACTGTACAAATGTGAGGAGTGTGGAAAGAGCTTCTATTCTAAGGCAGATCTTTATTATCATCAGAGGATCCACACAGGAGAGAAACCCTATGATTGTAAGGAATGTGGGAAGAGCTACAGGTGGGCTTCACATCTTTTGGCCCATCAGCGAGTCCACAGTGGAGAAAAACCATTCAAATGTGAAGTGTGTGGGAAGAGATTTGGCCGGAAGTCATACCTGCAAGCTCATCAAAAGGTCCACACCAGAGAAAAGCCATACAAGTGTGAGACATGCGGGAAAGGCTACAAGACAAGCTTGGATCTTGTTGTGCACCAGAGCATCCACACAGGAGAGAAACCATATACATGTTGGGTGTGTGGAAAGCACTTAAGTAGGGCCTCACATCTTAAACTTCATCAGAGAGTCCATACTGGAGAAAAACCATATAAGTGTGACGTGTGTGGTAAGCTCTTCAGTCAGTTTGCACATGTACAGTCTCACCAGAGAGTTCACACAAGGGAGAAACCATACAAGTGTGAGATATGTGGTAAGCACTTCAGGTCAAGTTCATATTTTAGAATTCATTACAGAAGCCATATTAATGATAAATTTCATCCATTCTCAGAGGGAGGGAAATAATTTGTTTAATTAAAGGGAATGTTTCAGCCATAGCTCAACATCCCAGTGATGCTGAAACCGCAGAAGTGGTGCGGTAAGGGCACGAGGACAGGGAGCTTGTTTGCTGCAGAACCTGCACAACCTTAACATTGATTAGCACATGTGCTCAGTACATGTTTGTGAAATCAGGAGAAATTATATAAAGCTTACATGGAAGAGGACGCCTGCAAAAATAAACAATTCAGAGAAACAAACATGAGTTGAAATGCAGAAGTGCACTGGGTACTATATCCCACTGCATTATTTTGGTGGTATCCTTGCAGTTGGCTCCTGCCCGACCCTCTAGCTCTGTTCTGAGGTTGGGTTCTCTCTCTTTTTGCTGGGGGAGGGGTGTTCTTATTATTCAGATTTCTCTTTGGTATCTCATTGGTATATATAGTATAAATTCATGTATCTCACTTATGATTTTTCTCACAGTGCCGACAGGTTTAACTGTAATAACTGGCTACTGCACATATTACAATAGAAATTTTTCAGTGTTAAGGCAAGTGTGCAAAGTAACCCATTCAAAGCATCAGATTTAGTACTAACGACAAAAATGTTCTAAATCTTGATTGAATATTAAATTTCTGTGTTTCCATACAGGCTTTGATATGACTGCTTTTTAATTGTAGCATATCTTTAGTCAAACTTTGCTAGAGGCTTTGGCAAGTTTGAAGAACATTTAGTTTCTCAACTTCCTATATTCTTCCCTTATTCCCATGAAGTAAAATACCAGAAGAACTTGTTGGGACTTGGTAATTTCAAATGTATTTAATAATGGTGGAGAAATAACATTAACATGCTTTTCTTTTTGGGTAAAAACACATCTTTGGAAAATCAGATACAACAGATTGTGTAAGGCATGACTGTCTGATTTGGAAATCATAGTATAAGAATTTAAGATTATGGAAAAGTGAATACCACATCAATAATGCCATACAATTTTTAGAAAAGAAATAACTTCATCAATAGGAGTTTATATATTTCCATAATAACATACGACATTAAAGAGATGGCAAGGACATGTAATAACAGGAGAAGAACATAATATGCCTTTGTGAAATCAGACTGGCTTTTGTAAAATTAAATTCCTGAATGTGTGTGTGTTTGTGTATGTATATATGTGGAAAGGGGCACTCTTAGTAATGATATCTGTCAGATTATTTGGTGGTATTTTCATCTTATAATTTCATTATATGTTTTAATTTCTCAGCATCAATTTGATTAAACTGGTAAATTTTGTACAGTGGAATTTGAAAAGTGACTATTATGAATCCTTTACAGGTAAGGATTCCTAATAATTGTACTCCATTATTATACGACATATACAATCAAAATTAAGGAATAGGATTCAGTGAGTACTCAAAATTTTTATGGTTATTTGAATACACATAAACTAATGAGTGATCAGTTGTCTTTGCAGTTATTGCATGTGATACATCTTTAAGCACGAGCCAAGGAGTGGGCCAATACTGGAGATAGAAACAGAGGGAATACACGTCATGGCAGTTAGAAGATTCTTGGAAGAAAAAGTGTGCGTGGATAGGAAGCAGCATGATAGTGGAGCCTCCATGGAGAAAGAGCAGCTTTAGATGCCGTTTCCTACTTCTTACACCATCATGGTATATTAAGTGTATTAGGCTAAAAGACTTTTCTTAAAGTATCTAATAGAGGTAAGGTTATTTTTGTAATTTTCTGGACTATATCTTCACAGAATTTTATGTACTTACTAAGATCCATGCTATCTCAATTTGCATAGTGTTTGGGAGTCCCTAAGGTTATCTTTGGGTTCTCTGGTTTCCTCTCATGACTCAATGTAGTTGGACTTAGGACCATGTCACAGTGAAAGGAGATGAAGCAAAATCAGTGAAGGGAAAAGGCACATGGAAGATGTCTGGAGGAAATCGGGTGTAAGCTTCCAAGAGTCCGCTCTCCATGGTATTACATGGGACTCAGTTCCTCCAGCACTGAATTTTGGCCACGTGTGAAATGTCTACAATAGGGCCTCATTGTAGGCCCTATAAGTACTTGGAGACCAGTACTTACTGGGAGCTGGTCATGTGAGCACCATCTGGTCAGAATGTACCAAAATCCCGGGCTTTAAGTAAGGAAAGTGGGTGTTAGGCATAAATGACATTGCACAGTGCACAGCTCCTAACAGTTACGGAATGGTGGGAACTCAAAATCCATGTTTACTGTCAACAGCCAAAGTCCAACTTGCAGGTCATTCTAAGGATCACAGTTGGAACTGCTTTACTAACGTTCCTGCACATGTGGTATCAGATCTAGGGCCTGTAGTCTTTCTTTTTTTTTTTTAAACTAGTCAGAGACCAGAGTTAAGTTATCTCCAAAGTAATTGTTTCTAACAAGCCTCACCAGTTTAAACAAAAAGTACTTCTAAAACTGAAGTTTATAGGTAGGATTCCTCAAGGTGGTCACAGGGTAACACCTGGGACTAGGTGGTTCATGTTCTTGTAGCCCAGAGTGCACCAGGGCTAGATTTCCAACCACATTCAATAGTTAATTCCTAGCTTCTAGTTTCCTGAGTCTTTGTGGGACCACTGAGTTCAAGCTCACACTTTTCACCATGGGCTTCACGTCCTTTTTTTAGTTGTGGGGGGGGGTGTACCTGGGGATTTCCCTATCATTTAAAGATTTGAGTCTGATATATCCTGTTTCTTTGACACATTAATTTTAAAGTCATTCTCAAAGCATCTGTTATCTGCAGACTTGGTATTTTGTTACATGAATATCTTAATATAAATATTTCTTGGAAAGGGTTTAAAAATTATTTTCACTGAAAATAATACCAGTGCAGGAAAGCTCAAAGGAGAGTGTGGAAAATATGAACTCTAGCTATTAATATTCCGGTGAGCTTGCTTCGGTGTATGCATATAAATAATAGTCACAGAATTTTACAAACTAGGAACACGATTCATACTATTTTCTAATTATAGTGTTTCACTCACTGAAACAGTTGTTGAAGATCATTTCATAGGTTGACCTACAACCTCATGTCTAATGCCTAAACAGTATTTCCTTAACCAGTTTTTTACTGATGAAGATCAGTGGGATAGTCAATTTAATGTGGCAACTTGCCCAGACTCCAGTTCTTAGTATTAGATTATACACAAACCTAGGTGTTGGGAAGGTTTTGTAGAGGTGATTAAAGTCTGTAGTCCTTTGAGAAAGGGGTAATATATAATCTCAGTTGGCCTGATTGAATTGGTTGAAAGTCCTTAAGAGCAGAACTGAAACTTCCCTGAAATAATACCATTCCATGTTTCCATTTTGGCCCTTCTAATGGTGTGTGCCAGAGATTTTCACTTGCCAAGCCAGCCCCACAATCTTGTAAGGCAGTTTCTTATAATAAATCTCTGTGTTCCCTCCTGATTATTCTGTTCCTTTTAACCCTTACCAAAAAAGGTTTTTGTTCTGAGAGTGGTTCTAGAGGAACAGAATGTTAAGGATGAGTTTTCTGAATGTGTGTTCTGGCATTGGTTCTCTAATCGTAATGATTTTGTTTCCCACGAAAAATAGAGCATTGGTAGTCATTGATATGACAAAAATACACAAAATACCACATTTGCTATTCTTAGTGAAGTAACTGTGGAAGACAAGGTACTGGTTGACTATGAGATATTTAGAACATATTCATCAAACTAAGGAGTATAATGGGATTTTTCTGATTGCTTCTAACTGCTGGAGAAAGTGGGAATGAGAAAGATGCACTCATAGCCTCAAATTCAAGCTCAACCTGAAAGCTTCAGATCATGCATTGGCTTCTTGACCTTTCCTGTTGATCTTGGCATCCCAAGTAAGTAAATAGATGGCAAATCTACTAAATCATTTTCTGACTTTCTAGGTGACAAAGTTCTAGGACAAATGAACAAATGTCTAATTTGAACCACCAAAAACAGTCCCAGGCCCTAAATCAATTATAAAATGTGGTCAGTTTACAAACCCAGAATCCCTTGGATGAAAGGGAGACAAGGTCCTCTTGAGGGTGGAACCTGCTATACTGCAAATATGTGTGCTGTTAATCTTTTCCCCCAAGGGGCTGTGTACCAATGTGGCTGTGTACTGAAAGGGGAAACAGACTTTTTTTTGGCAGTGATTGGACCCTTGCTTTCTGATTTGGAGTAAGGCCTGAGGGAGCACTCTAGATTGGGTGGTGTCTGAAGAAAGTACCAATTCTAATATTGAGTATTGCAATAAATGTAACCTTTGACAGGGTAAATTAGAGCAAGGATAAAGCTTTAAGTGGTAAAGAAACAGCAGTCATTTAGCCAAGTGGCGGGGGTGCGGGGGTGTCTGGTGTTGTGTGGATAGCATGGTGACCTTGTTTTTGTCTGTATCTAAAATTATGAAAAAGGCCTCGTTTTACCTCACTTTACCATAGTCTCAGAGAAACCTCATTTGAAGACGGTATGCTGTGGTTCTTTTATGTCCCAAAGGAGGATAACATGGCCTCGCTGTGAGTGCCACGCCAACTTCCAGATGTTAGGGGTGGTTTTGTTTTTAGTTCTCAATCCATTCAGTGCAACATTACACAGCAATCATATGGAAGGAGTCAGATTTTCACTGCCAGATACTAGAAACTCTGGCTTATATTGAGTTTAGAAAATGCAGCCCTGGCTGGTGTGGCTCAGTGGATTGAGTGCTGGCTTGTGAATCAAAGGGTTGCCAGTTTGATTCCCAGTCAGGGCACAAGCCTGGGTTGTCAGCCAGGTCCCCAGTAGGGGGCCGGAGAGAGGCAACCACACATTGCTGTTTCTCCTCCTCTCACCCTCCCTGCCCTTCTCTGTAAAAATAAATAAAACCTTTTAAAAAGAAAAAAATGGATACAGAACATGAGACTTCATTTTGTTAATATGTTTATGGGAGGAAAAAATCTTCGAGAAGGATTCTAAGTGCATTTTTTTCTTAAAATTTCCTTTATGCAATTTTAATGTTCCCAGTAATGTGTTTTAAAAAGTAGTAACCATCAGAAAAAAAATTTTAACTACAAATATAAAGTTAAAAAACTCAATGCTAAAACATGCTCCCTCACCTATAGAATCATCATCACCAGTGCTCTGGCATTAAATCATAGGCTTTGAGAGTCAAAATGACTCCAATGCTGAGCTCTTCGGCTGTTATGCTTGGTTTGAGATAGTGGGCAAATTTCTTCTCTGAAACTTGGTGTTTTTTATCTCCAAAATAGGGATGATTATAATGAATGAAAAGTTAAAATGAGGGCAGAACTCTTCCATGAGGACAGGCTTCCACTTTGGCCCCCTCAAGTTGTGCTTCCTGCCAAACTGGTGGTGCCACAGCGTCCATGGTTGGTGCTGGTAGTTTCGTTGCTCTTCATCAGATAATTCTGCTTCCCAAATCATTCCACCTTGCTCATTCCTTAAACCCTGTTTTAGCCTCCTATTGTCACATTATACTGAACATTATCCTTTCAGTCATCTGGTGTCCTCTAGATGGTCATTCTCCATTAATTTCTTTTTTCTAATAAAAAGCATGTTCTTATTAGCGTAGGATGAGGGAATAATAGGAATTTTAAGAAGAATGCTAAAGCAGGAGCTCCAGGAAGCTGTAAAACTTCCATGAT